GACTAGTTGCGGAGAATTGCACTCCTCATCAGAGTTCCTGATGAGGAGTGGAATTCTCCGAAACTAGTCTGGCTCACAGACACACACCCCAATAAAAGAACAGGCCATTCCAAGCTTTTACTTGTTGTTAAACAAATGTTTAAACAACTCTATTTAATAATTTCACCTATTGTCATGGATAATACACATTCGGAAAAAATGTGACGATTTTCAATGCAAATTGAAAACTATACAAAGCATTACTAGAAGTTATGATCTAGCAACTTATGGTATCTTAATATTACAGAATTTTTAGATTTTTTGTTTGTTCAGGTGAACAGGCTATTATAAAATGTAAGGCCTAAAACATAGTTACTTCATAAGTACCATAATATGACTGTGACTATTTGATCATTCTTCATGAAACAAACATAGTTTCATAATGTACTAAATATGCAAAACACATGCATTAACTCTTCAATAAAGTTGCTGAATTATATATAAACCAATTTTTTTCCCTCACAATATGATTTCTGTTCAGTCTTGGCCTTTGGCCTTGGTACCCCAATTTGTACCCTCAGTAATATCAAATGAGTCCGCCACAACAATTTGATATATACACTAAAAAAAAAGAGCTATTAGTAATAAATTTGTACATCACCTTGTAGATTAACATACTGGATTAGTGATTAGAAACACGTATATAACATATTAGTGATGATAAAGATGCATATCACCCTGTACATTAACGTAAAGGATTAGTGGAAAAACATGTATATGACAGTGTAAATTAACATAGTGGAATAGTTTTCATAAAATTGTAAAACACAGATGAACAAAAATTATATCATTTAAAATAAAAGCTGTTTTGGTGTATTATTAATATGTATTTTTATATCTATCTGCAGATATACAAGTTATTATGAATGTGGAAATAGCTACTGTAAAGACGTCAACTATCGAGAACATTATCACTGTATGGATTGTAACTGCAAGGTAGATTCAGTTACAATAAACTTATCAAACATTTGATTTCATGAACTAAAACTGCAGAGACGGTCCAATTGCAGTAGAATTATGAAACTTTTCATTCTTGGACTGTAACTGCGAACTTTACTGTAGAGTAACTTCAGTTATAATAGACTTACGAAACTTTTCATTCTGTGTACTGTAATTAATTCGTAGGTCTAGTTAAAATACACTTAAAGAGCTTTCTATTCTGTGAACTAAAATGGCAGGGTAGATCCATTTGAAATTAACATAGGAAACTTTTCGTTTTATAGACTGTGAGTAGTAAGGGCCCCACTTCCGACATATGCACTGATTGGCTGCCTCAGGTAGGGGAATGGAAAGGGCTGCAGTGATGCCACCAAAGACGACGACGTTATATTTCCACAAATTTTCACGAGAAGGCACGTTGTAAGGGACACATTGCTAGGCCGTCATGACAGGCGACCATGTCGTCATAGTTCCACAAAGTGTCACCAGAGGGCGTACTGGTAGGACGCATTGCTAGGTCGCCATGAAAGGAGTAAATGTCGTCATAAGAGGGTGCAGCAATCTTACAGATGATTGAAATTATAGTTTGATAAGAGACAGACAGCTCTGACATAATAGTTCTATGAAAACAGAGAACATATTTCTAGGCAGCCATGACGTCATAGTTTCACTAAGTTGGACCAGTATAAATTTGATCAATATGTCTCAACATTACTATGTTTTCTAGAATCAGTTAAAACACTAATTCATTACTTCTATACATTTCCTGACCATTTATATGTCCTACAAAAAACTCTTAACACTAATTAATTAGTCCTATACATTTCCTGAAGACTTATATTTAGCTCATCCTAAAAAGGGTGATTTAAAGGATTATCGCTAATTTATTAATTCTATACATTTCCTGACTATTTATATGTAAGTCGTCCTGCAAAATAATGCTTAACACTTATTTCCACACATTTTCTGATCATTTATATTTAAATCACACTAAAAGGACGATATCATCAAACAATTAAAAGTTACTGCTTAACTCTTTAATTAGAAATCAAGTAATTATTTCAAATATTTTGGCACTTATTTAATATGCAAGACAAACTATTTCATTTTACACATGATACTTTATACTTTTAGCTTACATGAGTTTTACTACACTTCCACATATGATCAGTGTCTCTATCTAATTATGTTAAAACCATTATTTTAACAACTGTCCATAGGATTTTAACAAATATGCTGTGACAGTGTTAATATACTTCCACATATGATTACATCATCAATGTCTAGATTAAATTATGTTAAATCCATTATTTTGCATATTTTAATATCTGTACTATTTTCAAAACAAGATCCAAAACTCGAGCACTTTCAAATAGTTGACTATTCTTCTTCAGAAGAAGAATAGTCAACTATTTGAAAGCACTCGATTTTTGGGTCTCACTTTAAAAATATTACAACTTTTGTAGATGATCCTGTGTGCTAGCTACTTAACCTGGATTAATATTTATACTATTACAATTTTCTACAACTAAAAATAATAATAGTTGAATAACTTACTGTTTACCCATCCATTTTCTATAAAACATTCCCTTGAAGATTAAAATATTATTAAACTTTGAGACTGTCTAGTGCTATTAGGAATTGATCACTGGCAAACACACCTCCAAACTTCTTTGCATATACAAATCATGTGAAAGTATGGAATACATTTCTAAACTGTTCCTAGCTTCTCTCAGACAATGTTCTGTAGGACATTTACTGTTTTGCTTTCACAAGTAAAACATACATATTATTTGAATGAGACAGTTATTATAACCAATAATTTACTTTTATCGTCCTACAACTAAATATAGTAAATGAACGACATACTGTTTAAATCACATTGCATAAAACTTTAAGAATGTCTAATGCTAAGTCACTATTAGGAAATCACACGCATGATATCTGAACATCGACTTTTAAGAATTAAATAGGTTTTCACGTGATCACACACATACAAACAGTGATTCTACTGTACACAAAACCATCGTGAAAATACTGACGTCATTATCGACCACACTTCAACCATCCTTTTATTTAAAAGAGAGTAGGGAATCACCATGGTCACAGTCTGATGTGTTTGATATTCAAGGCCACTGCCTGGCTTGGTTTTCTAAAATATACAGGGTAGGATGTCAAGTTTAGAAATTCTTTTTGACCTTTAGTGTTAGGTAAAACAGATAACACTTTCTTTTGAATGTAGGAAAAATGGTATTAAAATAAATTTCCATTATATTACACTGTCACTATTTATGTGTCTACAGTATATTTAATATTCAAAATAAGCTCTACATAATTTTAATGTTCACCATCCCTTAACACAAGTTTTTATGTCACTTGAAAGTCAGTAAACATAGTTCATTACATAGTGATACAAAACAATAAATGTATGTTATCAATAGCTGATGGGTTAGAGTACAATTATTGCATACTGTACCCGACAAATGGTCAGATTGTATCAGTTGGCTTAGAATAATTTTCAAAATGAAAGATCTATTCAAGTCTAATATATTATATTTATATAAACATGTGAAATATGTGAGATTTCATTGCACACTAAAGTCTAATTGTGATTTCAAATATCTCATAATGGTTTGAAACATAATTTGTAATACCTGTGGTATAAACTTGTTCTAACATGTTATTACTCACCATAAAGGAAACAAAGGCATTTTCAAGGTATACAAAACATATAATATTCTTGAAATCCGTAACTAAATTTACTGTCTCCTACAACTTAACACTGACATATTTTACCCTAATATACTATCTTCAACATATGTAAGTAAAGAATTGTAAAGAATCACATGACCACTACAAAATGGGTAGACAAACCAGAAATTCTAGTTCCGTATCTTTCAAGCTTCTAGGATAAAAGACAAAAAAATATATATATTTTATTTCACAATTGGGTACAATTATTGCATACTGTGTACCCAACATACAGCAAAAGGTCATACTGTAGCAGTCGGCTTAGAATAATTTTTCCAAATGAAAGATTGAATGTAAACATGTAAAATGTATGAGATTTAATCATACATTATGCACTTGTGTAGTAACAGAGTTACTTGTTTCCAGGTAGTGTTGACATGGTAGATCCTTTATTTATAAATCAAGTGATCATTCTTTGATATATTTCCTCATGTGCATTTTGAAATTGTTACTGCAACATGAATTTTCTTTCATTTACACTTTATATATAGATAATCAAATGTATAAAAATCATCAGTTACAAATCAGACTTCTGTGATATTTTTATATGAAACTCACTTCTTATCATAAACTAATATACTATCTTTAGTATATATAAGTAAAATCTCAGACTTAAGTATCACACATATTGAAACATTGTTAACAAAACTTCAAAATACAGTAAGATACTATTTACGAAAACTTCTTAGTTTATAAATTACTGTCTTATACACGTCTTGCTTAGTCTTTTACGCCTCATGAATAACAGTTTCTAACAAATCTCCATTTATATTTGATATAGAAAACTCACATTTCATCATACCCCAAAGTAATATCATTAATATATGTAAGCGAAATCACATATCTAACAAGCATACTAAAACATTTATTGACAAAACTTCAAGATATACTAAATTGCTATTTACGAAAACATCTTAGTTTATAGGATACCGATTTACAGCACAATGTAATAATACTTGTGGTATATATATCTGTTCTAGCACCTTATCTGTCACCTGTAAATGAAACATAAGGGCATTCTCCAAACTTATCAAAGTTTCTTTATTTTAGAAACTATACAAAACATATCATGCACTTGAAATCCTTAACTATATTGACTGTCAAATATGTGAAAACAAACTGAATTAACATGAAACATTGTACTAAAGACATATCATTACATAAATGAATAAATGCTTTATTGCAAACTAGCCATGTAAAATAAAAGATATATATTTTCTTGTCTTTTTTGTCAAGTATAGTATAAAGTCAAACTAGTGAAAGTGTAAGTTTAATTATTACATAATATTTAATAAACATTTTATTGATGACATAATCACATGTTGAGACACTTTGAAAAACAATTTGCTTTAGCAACATGATGTATATGTAGAACACCATCCACCTTTGTAAAACATAAAACATGAGATAAAACTATAAAAGTATCATGTGTAAAATAAAGTATTTTGTTTTGCCTGTTAAATAAGCGCCGAAAATCTTAGAAATAATCACTTGATTTATAATTAAAGAGTCAAACATTAACTTTTAGTCATTTCATGATATCATCCTTTTAGGACAATTTAGATATAGATGGTCAGGAAATGTATGAAACTAATAAATTAGTGATAAACTTCCTTTTTCAGTATGGTTTACATATAAATGGTCAGGAATTAATTAATTAATTAGTGTTAAGCGTCCTTTTTCAGGTTATATAAATGATCAGGAAATGTATCGAACTAATGAATTAATGTTTTAAACCAATTGTATCTAATATACTCATGTTGAGACATGTTGATCAAATTTATGCTGGCCCCACCAACATCGAAATATGATGTAATGGCTGCCTGTCTTGGTGGTCTAGAAACACGTTTTCTGTTTTCCTAGAACTATTATATCATAGCTGTCTGTCTGGTATCAAACTATAATTTTAATCCTTTCTAAGATATCTGCGCCATCTGACAACAATTTGACCTAGCGATGTGTCCCTAACAATGTGTTCTCTGGTGAATGTGAAACTTTGTGAAATTGTGATGGCATTGTGGCCTAGCAATGCAGCTCTAACAACACAATCTCTAGTGACAATTTGTGGAACTATGACGTCATCCTCTTTCGTGTCATGACCGCTACCAACGTGCCCCCTGGTGACAAATTGTGGAACTATGACGTCACCGTCTTTGGTGACACCATTTCATACCCTTCCCACCCACTCCTTGAGACAGTCAATCATCGTGTGTGTCTGAAGTGCAGCCCTTACTACTGCTGTGACTTTCGAGTAGGTTCAGTTATATTGGATGGGTCCAGCTAAACTAAACGTAGGAAATTTATTTATCCATAAGTTGTAACCATTGGGTAAGAAGTCTGTTATAAGACTGTGGAGCTACTTTGTAGTTTCAGTCTACAGAATAAAAAAAAACTTTTCGTATTGCATACTGTAAGTGTAAGGTAGGTCTTGTTAGAACAGACATAAAGAAGTTTTCATGTTGTGAACTGTAACTCCAGGTAGATCCAGCTGGAGTAGAATTAGGAAACTATATTTTTTTGTATGTAAATGTAGAGTATGTCCATGGTAGGTCAAATATTTTAGTTCTGAGTTTATAAAGAAGTAATTTTAATTTCCTTTTTGTTTTAGTTATATGAAACACACACAGAAAAGCAGCTTTTAAGCGAATACTTTATATTTTGTTATTTTGTAAACCTGAAGTTCAAAAGAAAACGCTGTTACTGTTTGTTATTTTTTATGTAGGTGTTCCTAAAGAAAGAAGAGATTATTCGACATTGCAAGTGGCATAAAAAACGGGATGAGTTTTTACAACAGGGTTTTATGCGATATAGTTCAACAGATAGCTGCTCTGATCGATTTACACACTGTTCACACAACGGAAAACAGACTCACTATCACTGTCTGAAGGTATGGAGAATATGATAGATTAGAAACGTGAAAAGTTTCTACAACGCAGTTTCATGTGATATATTTCAACAGATAGCTGTTCTGTCCATTTCACACACTTTTCGTGCAACAGAAAATAGGCTCCATATCACTCTTTAAAGGAATGGAAAATATGCTTGATTGGGGCGAGTTTCTACAACAAGCAGTGGCGTAGCTATGGTTCTCAGCACCCAGGGTGCAAAGACACTTTTGGGACCCCACCTCTGAAATGTTTCAATTATTTGTTTTGTGACTCATTTCCCACTTAATGACAATAACACAAAAAATTAATTACCGCCTTACACAGGCCTAAAATAAAGACACACTATAACATCTCACAATATCACAACTGTAAACCTGGAACTAATGAAGCATAGCCTACTAGGTGTACTTACACAATTTGTAAACCATTTTGATATTTATGTCATCCAGTATTGTTTAAAGTCACATAGCTAGAGTAATCTTTCAAGCATGCATAATAAATTTTTGTTATATCCCTAGTTTTGAAACTTATGTTTTATATGAGAAGCCCTTGTGGTGTACATGAATTATAAAACAGATTGATAAAATACTACTTAAGTTTACAAATAACAAATGTTACTAGCTTACAAAACTACACATATATATATTTAACTAGATCTTGTACAGGTAGCATTCTGGTATTCATTGTTACATTATATGAACCTTTCGTGCTTTTGCTGCTGCAAATGCATCAATTAAACTATCAAAATTTAAGGTTTTAAGTACGTCTTTTTCAGTTCTTAATATTGCCAAGCTACTAAGTCGTTCTTGAGTCATTGAGGTTCTCAAGTATGTAAGAATTAATTTCAGCTTGCTGAAGGACCTTTCACAACTAGCAATAGAAACCCCAATTGTTAACAAAATCTGCAATGCAATTCTTAAATTTGGGGAAAACATCTTCACCATATGAAATTATAAATGTTAGCAAATCAGTTGCAACCAATGGTTCAGGAAAATCGGTCTGTGTTCTTTTACTTTCTGCAGTCTTTAATTTCTCTGTACAATTCTGGTCCATCAATATCACCTGGATAGCTCTTTTCTAAGTCAGCACATTTTTCTTCCAATTTTCCGTCTTCAAAATCTCCAGAAACAATATTTTGCACATCTCGTAGAAATCCAAACCGTGAATCTAAATCTAGTAAGCGAGAAAATCTTCCTGTTATTTCTGTAATCAAGTGATCAATAACATCCTTCATGATGTGATAAATTTCCTGTTCAGCAGTCAATCCAGCATCAGCTTCATTTTCACCTGGCATCCGTTTACGGCGTATTTTTTCTTCTTTCAATGGTCAATCCCCATGTTTCACATTGATTCTTGCCCAGTCTAAGTGCTTCTTGACAGGACTTTCACGTGATTTTATCAATTTATCTTTCAAAGAATTAAGATCAGCAGCTGCTTGGGTCCTGAAAACGTTTCAGCACTCGATTGATAGATGATAAAAGATTTCTCCAACAATGCAAAAGTACAAGAAAATCAAATATTATGAGCACCACATTTTGTTTCAGCGTGTTGCCATTCTCACTTAATTGCTGTAACAGTCCTAGCAATTCACCCAGTTTTCATGTACAACTTTTACTGCTTTTTCTCGTGCACTCCACCGTGTTTCTGATTCACGCTTGACAAAGATCTTAAGCTCCTGCTGCAGTTCGTCCCATCAAGTTGTTGAATGAGCAAAGAAATTATAAATGGCTTCAATTATACCAAAAAAGGTAATAACTGTTGTTTCCTGACTTGCAGCATGAAGACATGCTAAGTTCAAACTATGGTTGTCACACTGCTTTTGGATTTTTGTTCAGAATTCTTTGTTGAACACCCGACAGATGACATGACATGACAGCAGCGTTATTATAGCATTGTGAACAACAAGCACTCAATAAAATTCCATCCGCTTCTAATTTTGTGCTTATCGTTTTCTCG